AAGTCCAGCGGCCCCACGGAGCCTGGGCTGTGGCTAGTTCTGAGTGTGGCAAGCTGAGGACTGTGGGTGTCCACCCTCCTCCAGATAGGAGCCAAGAGGGCGGAGACCCTCCTAGGTTTCAGCATGCCCGTAAGGCTATGCTGTCTAAGGGCAAATCACGGAGGGCATGGGTGCAGTGGGGGACAGGGAGAGGTCACTGCCCTGGTGTAGGTGACAGCAAGGACAGAAGGGGGTCAGGGGAGACTGTGCAATGGGCACTGGGTCCATTCGGAGGGAAAAGCTGGGATACACAGCAGAGGCTTCGAGGACGGGAGGGACAGTGGCTTTCCAGGGACCTAGCATCAATGGGACAGCGTTTCCCTGCAGCACTGCAGTGCCCAGAGGAACGCGTGTACCCTTGACTCATTTCGCCCAAAGCCCTTCGTTGCTTCACATCCTTCACGTCCCACTCTGGACCCCCAGCTCTCATCACAGGGCCCTTAAAGGGCTTTCAGGCCCTGCCCCAACATGCTTCCATTTCCAGACCCTGACCCGAGTCGCCCCGCGATTTCCCCGGCTGGCCACAAACTCCTAGGTTGCACCCAGAGACCCCACAAGACCTCCAGACCCCATCCCAAGCTCTGCGACCGTCTCTCCACCCTCAGCTCTCTCTATTCTGCTCCCAGACACTCAAGATCCTTAGGCCCTCGCCTCTGTCCCCAGCCCCCGCTCTCTAGGCCCTTACCCCTGTGGGGACCTGTTCTCACCCCAAATTCCCGCCCAAGGCCCCACCCGGGATTCGAGTAGCTTACCCAGGATCCTCTACAGCCAGACCCGACCCCTGACCTCTGAGCCACGCCCCCGCATCAGGCAGGTCCCCGGGTAATTTTCAGTGGCTGCAGATGCCATCTGGAGGCAGGCAGACCTCACTAGGCCCCCGCACCTACGCGCTCACTTGGCTGGCACGTGAGCCCAGCCAAGCAGGCGGCCGCGGCCCGTACTCGCCCCAGCGGCCCATCACCGGCGCTGCCATCTTTTCTGGACCAACAAGTCGCCAGAGCGGCACCAGAGCTTGCCAAGACCTGTGGGATGACTACGGCTCCAGCACAGCTAGACTTCCGGGTTCATTTGCATATGGAAATTCCCAGCAGCCACTGTACTTATACATGATAGGAATAAAAACATTTTGTGAACTCCGATTAATGAATATATTTGGTTGTTCTATGTTTGATTACTAATAGCATGAAAAAAGTAGACAAGGTACTGTTTTTTTTAAAGTGTTCACCGTTACTGTAAAGATATTTATTTTATGGTGTTATAAATAGGAGATGAAAAGCAGCATCGTTTGTGCTCGCTTCGGCAGCACATATACTAAAATTGGAACGATACAGAGAAGATTAGCATGGCCCCTGCGCAAGGATGACACGCAAATTCGTGAAGCGTTCCATATTTTTACCTCCTCTGTCCTGATGCTTACTGACAGGAAAACAGTCACTGACCTCATGTATCTTAATTTTGTTATGATTTACGCATATGATTTCTGCAAGTTAATGGGCTTCACAGTGACATTTGCATACTTACGTTAAAAAACCTTTAAGCGTTTGTTTTGGTTTTAAGCATTATTTCCTTCCACACAGGAGAGAGAACATAACTTGTCTAACTGGCTTATTTCACTTAACATGATGTTCTGTTCCATGTTTTCTTATAAAAAGTGTGGTCTGTTTTTTTACGTGTAATGCTTCATTCTGCATATACATACATTTTCTTGGCCCATTCTTCTGACGATGAACCCTGGGACCTCCCCCATGCCTTGGGCACTTGGTGAACAGTGCTGCAGTAACTTGCCTATACAGGTGATATTAGAGTACTGACTTGCCTTCTTTCTGGTCTCTACCGGCAAATAGGGGAGCAGGATCACAGGGTGATTTTTTTTTAAACCAATGCTGGAATTGGAACCAGAGCTGAGGGCCCATGGAGCAAGCACTAATCACTGAACTGCATTCCCAGGCTTTTTATTGTGAGACAGGGTTTCCAAACCCTAAGCCCATATGGTGGCTTGTTAATTTGTGGGTCTTTCCAGTTTTAAACATTATCCCGAATTCTTTTTCCAAAACTGGATTCTTGGACCAGGTATGGTGTCACACACTTGTCATCCCAGCACTCTGGGAGGCTGAGGCAGAAAGATCCAATTCTAGATCAGTCTAGGTAACTTAGTGACTTAAGGAGACTCTGTCTCAAAATAAAACGCAGGAGAAATACACACACACACACACACACACACACACACACACACACATTTTGCTGGGTACAGGGCCAGGGATGTAGCTCAGCAGAATAATACTTGCCTGGTAAGTGCAAGGTCCAGAGTTGGAGTTCCAGTACAAAAAAAGGGGGGTGGTTTTTTTTGTTTGTTTGTTTTGCTGGCTGTGGGGTGCATGCCTGTAATCTCAGCACTCTGGAGGCTGAAGCAGGAGGATCACCATGAATTTGAGGTCAGCCTGGGCTACAAAGTGAGTTCAAGGCCAGCCTGAACTGCATAGCCAGAACCTGTCTCAGATAGATAAGTAGATGATAGATAGATAGATAGATAGATAGATAGATAGATAGATAGATAGACAGCAGAGCTGTTGGCTATTGAAGCTTTCCCTACCATGGGCCACCCTGCTTCCTCTCTAGGGTGTCCCTTTATTTTATTTATTTTTGTTTATTTACTTTTGGTACTAGGGATCGAACTCACCATCTTGCGCTCACCACACAGGCACTTATACCACTGAGCTAAATCCCCGGCCCTTATTTATTTATTTATTATTGTTTTTCCCTTTGACTTCACCTACACACCATCTGCAAAGCCAGTTTCTCTCTCACACTTCACTTTCGCTTTTTCAAACAAAATTTGCCACCAAAAAATTAAAAAAATTTTAAAAAGCCAGCCGGCCTGGAGATGCAGCTCAGGGTCAAAGTCCTGGCTTCCATCCCCAGTACAGAGCCGGGGGGGGCGGGGGGGGACAGGACACTGGCGTCCCCATCCCTGGGAGGACAGCCTTCTTTGGAAGCTAGTCTTACACAAGCCGTTGGGGGCAAAACAGGGCTCCACAGCGTGGCCTCCTTAGCAGAGGGGCTGTCAGGTAAGTGTCAACCAAGGACCTTGGCCAGGGCCCCTCATGAGGTGGAAGAGGCGAGGCCCCAACCCCGGCCTGGGTCTGAGAAATCAATTCCAGTTACTTTCAGCTGCCCAGGTTGTAGGGGTTTTTTTAATTTTTGTTTTTTTGAAATGCTGCCGATAGCGCCCAGGGAGTAAGTGCACTACACCTTGGCAGAGGTCACCACTGAGCTGCAGCCCTATCTTTTTTTCCCCCTTTTGTCTCTTTGAGACAAGGTCAGGTTATGCAGTTCAGGCTGGCCTTGAGTTCCCTTTGTAGCCCAGGCTGGTCTGGAACTTGCACCGATCCTCCTGCCTCAGCCTCCCTTTCCGGGGATGACAGGTGTGTGTGCTGCCATGCCCAGCTCCCACCCCTTTTTTGTAACCATTTTTCAGCCTTTTTAGTTCTGAGTTGGTCAATAAGTTGCCCAGGCTGGGCTTGGATTTGTGCTCCTCCTGCCTTGCTGTGCAGCCGGGGGACCGACATCCATGCTCGCCAGCCTCCCATGAATGACCCCATCAAGTGTCCCAAAGCTGGCATTGGGACCCTGGCACCAGTGAGGACCGGCTGGGTCTCTCAGAAGGCTGTCACCTGTAGGGAACCTCACACCCAAGGCTCTCACCCTCAGAGACCAAGACCTGCCACATCCCCAGCCCTGACCCAGACAAACCATGCAGCCCATGGCCAAAGCACCAGGAATTTATTAAACATTCTTCCCTCCCACCATGCACAAAGGACCACAGGTGTGTGTGTGTGTGTGTGTGTGTGTGTGTGTGTGTGTGTGGTCCCCTGAGGGTGACCAGCACCAGGGGCCCTGACCTCCACACCAGAGCCAGGCTGGGCAGAGGAGGCAAGGACAGAGGCTTCTAGCTCTAAGTCCTGGGTCCCCAGAATAAGGGGGAGCATGAGGAGCAGGCATGAGAGGAATGGTGGCATCGCACATTAAAGGCATCACACCAGCCCGTGAGACAAATCTATATCCTAAGTCACAGGGCTAACTATAATCAATGGGTATTTGTGTCTGAAGACACACTTCATTTCAGTGAAGTCTCTGTAGATCTTCAAATGGTGAGGTGCCTGTGTGTTGAATTCCTGGGGGGTGGGTATGGTCTTTGAAGTAGGTTGTTCTGGGCACAGGTTTGACATCTTCGGTAAACTGTGGCACACAGTGAGAGGAGCCTTGCAATGCAGTAGTATCTTTTAGGAAACTTCAGTTTTGTTTTTCCTAGGTGAGTCTTTTCATGGCTTCCAACACAATGGGATAAGAATAGTCTAGTATTGAGCAGCACGTAAAAACCTGACCTGTCTCTGAAAGTGAGTATTAGCAAATTCTAAAATAAGAGACAAGGGAGGGAGAATACTAAGCAGTGGTTAACAACAAGGAGAGTCATAAGGTGGCTGAACCCAGTTTCTCAGGTTGGCCCACGTCTTGCTGTGTCTAGGCTCCTCTAACAAGTGCACCCTTTGGTGACAGCCTGCCTGCCTTCTGGCTCACTTGCAATCCATCTTCACAGAAGAGTTAAAACTTTACAATAAATATGAAACACTGGACTTCACACCAATAAAACCATACCCCTCAAAATACACACACACACACACACACACACACACACACACACACAAAAAAAAAAGCAAGAGGGAATTAATGATTCTATTTACTGAATTCGAAGGGAGCTCTCAAGACAAATTCTTTTGCCAACAAAGCCATGTAAATTTTCATCCTACTAATAAAGACAATGGGGGACTGGGTGAGAAAATTAACTTGTGGAATAAAGTATCTTATGGTTTTACTTCATGCAATGAAATTAATTCCCACAAATTGCATTAGTTCTAAACATGAATGAAGTCATATGCTTCTAATCAGGAGCTGGAGAAACAGTATCTTTTTTGGCTGTTTATTGACAAGGTAATTTGCAATTACGTTTGTAGGCAATCTTGCAGAACTAGTCAATATACTTGCTTTTTACAAAATATATAGCTTCACAAAAACTCTGTATGTCTTCTAAGGATTCATTAATTTTCCATCAGTGATGTGATCTATTGATCTTTCCATAATAAATGTTGATACTTACCATGCTCTAAAATTTATTTTTTTTTAATTTTATTTAAGGAGAAAAAGAAAATAAAAAACAGAAAAAGGATACAAGTTATACAGAATTTCAGAAAGAATAAACAATAGGAAATCACTAGTTAATAGATTACACAGTTATCTTAGAAATAGTTGTTCAAGTTACAAAATTAAAGCATATAAAGTGGACTTTCAAACAGTGAGACTGCAAACAGTTTTGTTCAATGATCCAACAAAACTCAGTAATATGGTCATCTATCTTATATACTTAAATATATATGCTGTTATATCCTTTAGAGCACTTTCTTTTCCTTTGTTTTGTACAATGACAATTACACATTTTGGTTTTATTACTCCCACAGTTCTTATTACTTTTTGTTGAAGAGAGTAAAACCAAATGTGACATAACAAAACAGAGTCAATCAATTCAAAAGGACGGACATAATACATAATGTAAAAACAAAATACAAGGTGATCAACAATGGTTACCATACTGCCTCTTGCTATCTTTTTTTTTTTTTTTTTTTTTTTAAATCGGTACCAGGGATCGAACTCACGACTGCCTGCTTGCAAGGAAAGCGCTTATGCTGCTGAGCTAAATCCCCAGGCCCACCTCTTGCTATCTTAAAAAGAATTGCCTATATCATCAGCTATAATAAAATTGAGCAAAACAGTAAACAATAAAACCAAAACATTGGAGACATTACAGGACTTTAAAAGAAGATAATAGTCAACCAGAATGGGAGTCATAATGAATCTTACTGTCTTCACAGTTGTTGCCTATACTTTCGAACTCGGTACTATCAAGCAAAGCAGAATAGGGGAAAATCAGTCAAAACAAGATGGTAAGGGCAATACAGGGTTTCAAATCAAGGTAATAGGAAATCAAAGTGGGTTACTATAATGTATCCTGCTATTATTTATTTATTTTTCCCCTAATTAAAAAGATAAAAATAAAAAAGTAAATAATTTAAAAAAGGAGATTGAGATAAAAGAGAACAAACAACAAACCAATGCAGTTCAAAACATAACCATTTAAGCAAAATAGTGTATCACTACAAGATATCCTGACCTAAAAGTAGTTACCGTAGTGTCTCTTTCCTTGAAATCTTTGAGTATAACATCGTATACTGTAGCACCAAACGTATCAAGACAATGTAAAACCATTCAAGAGAATGACAGTATTACAGGGTATTCAGAATCAACTATCAGAAAATGAACAATGGTTTCTGTATAATCTCCTTGTCTATAAAAGTTTTTGCTTATATTATCACATATAATAAAATCCAATAAGATACAACCTGTTAAGACTGATGGAGACAGAGAATAAAAGCTTGATGGGAATTCAAGACAAGATGATACTAAATCAGCACTAGCTATTATAATGTTGTTTTCTCCAAAATAACTGTTCCTACCATCCAATCTTCTCTGCCTCATTTCTGTTGAGATCTTTTTCTGTCATTTGTTGTCAGTTTGTCTTCTTCATTTTGCTTTCTGCTCCATTCATTGTGGCCTCTCTGCCACTATTTCTGGATTCTTCGTATTTTACTTTTTTAGAATATCCTGCAGTATTCTCTGTGGAGTTGAATTGGTGATTGCAAATTCCCCTAGTTCCTCTTTATCTTGGAAGCACCTTGTTTTTCAATCAATTTCTAGGGACAGTTGTGCAGGATATAACGATCTTGGCTGGAGGTTATTATCTTTCAAAGCTTGAATTATTTCCCCCCACGCTATTTGTGATTTGATGGTTTGTGCCAAGAAGTCTGCTATAATTCTGATGGGTATTCCCTTGTAAGTGATCTGTTTCTTGTCTCTGACAGCTTTTAATATTCTGTTCTTATATTGGATTTATGGAATTTTTGATTATTATATGCCTGGGTATAGCTCTGTTTGGGTTGTAGGTGGCTGGTGTCCTGTATGCCTCATACATCTGAGTATCTTTACCTTTTGCTAAATTAGGGAAATTCTCTTGGATTATTTCTGTGAATAGCTTTTGTAGTCCATTTGTTTGTGTCCCTACTTCTTCTTTTATGTTCTTAATTCTTAAGTTATAGAACCTCTTAACATTTTCTAGCCTTTGTATTATTGCTGCTTGTTTTCTTGTTATTTTTAAGAAGTTTTTCATTTCATGCTCCCACATTACAAATCTGCCCTCCAGTTCAGATAATCTATCCTTAGTTTCTTTCAAGCTGTTATGCCAGCTTTCAATAGAGTTTTTAGTTTCCTGATAATCTCTTTGAACCTGCTTCACATATTCTATGTTTTCTCTATTTTCTCCATCAAACAATTCTCCCCTTTTTTTCTGTTCTTCCATTCCACCATCTGTTTTTTCTTGGGCGGTGCTTAGCATTTCTCTAACTATTGTACTTATATCTTGCTTTATTTCGTTAAATACTTCTCTTTTGAACTTGTCTATATGGCTCCGGAGATATTGCTTTATGTCTATTGGTGCCATGTCTGATATTGCATGTTTTCTGACTTCCTTCTCCTTTGCATTTCCCTTTCCTGGATCAGTGTTCTCAGGATTGGGGACTGAGGACCCTTTCTTGTTGCTTCCTCTTCCCATACTTTTTGTTCCTTCTATACAAGCAAATATAGGAGGCCCAGTTTTTTTTCTCTTTGTCTGTTACAGTTTGTTTGAATTGCGCCAGCTAGGTGTGCCCACCCACTGCAGTGTACTAGGGAGACACAGACCTGGGCAGCCTATACTGGGCCCACCCCTCCAGGTCAACCTACCGAAGGCTTCAGTCCTAGGGTGTACCTCCAGGCGCTGGGACCTGGTTTGGGCTAGCCTACTGGGTCTTAGCAGCATCACCCAGGCCAGGCACTCCCCACCAATCCCGCTTGAGAGGGGAATATGAGACTAAAGTTACTGTAGCGTCCTGTTCCCGGCAAGACTTCTGGTCCCAGTATGTCCTTTGCTAAAGCCTCCTACTCTATGGAAGGGTCCCCAATCCACTCAATCACTGCAGGTCAATGCAGGGCTTCCTGCCAGTCCTGTTCTCAACTTGGTTCACCGATTCCCACTCTCAGAGGTTTAGGGTCTCTCTCCCTGCTGTGCTGATTTGGATGCAGCAGCGGCAGCAAGAAATTCAAATCGCAGCTTCCAATGGTGCCATTTCCAGCTTCCGTGCTGGGATTTTATCTGTTCCTGTTATAGCACTGGGATTGCGTTTCCAGTTGGTTTCTCTAAGCTTAGTTTGTTCCTGGGTCAGTAGGGTATAACTCTCCTTGCTTAGGACTCCTTGCACCACCCCATTCCTGGGTTCTAAGCTGGGTATCTCAGAGAGCCTCCATAGCTGCTACTATCTATCCGCCATGTTCTCCCAGAAGTCTCTAAAATTTATTTTTAAAAGCAGTGACAATTCATTACATAAAGAGATTTTTTTTTTAGTCTAGAAAGTCAAAAGGTGAATTTATTTTTAATTCAATTACTGTTCAAGATGGTTAAGAAGAGAGTGACCAGAGAATATGAAAGTGGTCTTCTTTCTTTCTTTCTTTCTTTCTTTCTTTCTTTCTTTCTTTCTTTCTTTCTTTCTTTCTTTGTCTTTTTGAGACAGGCTCTCCCTATGCAATTCAGGTTGACCTTGAGCTTACTTAGTAGCCCAGGCTGGTCTTGAACTTGTGATGATCCCCTTGAGTCAGCTCTGGAGTGCTGGCATTACAGGTATGTGCCACCATGCCTGGCCTAGAGCGGTTTTTCTTTCTTTCTTTCTTTCTTTTTTTCTTTTTTTTTTTTTTTTTGTGTGCGTGTGTGTGTCTTTTTCCTTTTTATCGGTACCAGGGATCGAACTCCAACTGCCTGCTTGCAAGGGAGGCGCTTATGCCGCTGAGCTAAATCCCCAGCCCCTAGATTGGTTTTTCTTTAAAAAAAGAAAAATCCACCTGCCTGGCAAGTGCGAGGTCATGAGTTCAATCTCTGGTACCAAAAAAACGAAATAAAATAAAACAGAAAAGTCCTAATTTATCAAAGTGCTACATTGTTATCATAGAAAATATGGAAATACAGGAAGGATTAAGAAGTTATATTACTTAGATGTAGCCATAAACACCAATTCTGCCTGATTAGGCAAAAAGGAAGTTATGAGGACGATAATAGGGGATACAGAACCCAGGATTGGCTGGGGACTCACAGTGAAATTGAAAGAACTAGTATGAGAGTTGTTTGAGAATAGCTGGCTGTAAGAACTGCAGCAAGAAAGAGTATGTTAGCAGAAAAGTCTCATCAGCAGTGTAGGGAATGCTATCTGCCATGAAAATAGTTGATCATCCTATTAGCTTTGCAAAGCTAGTTCAGGACTCAAAGTACCAAGAAAAATACTTGATTAGTTAAAGTACAGGTCATATGACTCATTGACTATATCAGCCTTCACTGTGACACAACCTTTCATTAAGATTACAGTGGGCAGGGGTGGGTAGTTAGCTCAGCAGCATAAGTGCCTGCCTGGCAAGCACAAGGTTGTGAGTTCAATCCCCTGGTACCAAACAAAAACAAATATTACAGTCGGCAGCCAGGTGTGGTGGCCAACACTTGAACAGTACTCAGGAGGCTGGGGCAGGAGGATCACTGTGAATTTGAGGCCAACCTGTGTTACAAAGTGAGTCATGGTGCACATGTCTATAATCCCAGCACTCCAGAGGCTGAGGCAGGGGATTACCATGGGTTTGAGGATAGCCTGGGCTACATAGTAAGACACTGGAGACACTGATGATGTGGGTAAAAATAAATGTGCTTTTGTCTTACTATCTAAAGTCAAGTGAGGACAAAAAATACACTGTATTATAAATGTAAAATATTCAGTAAAATTCAGGGCAAGCAAGTATCACACTTTTAAATAACATACTGGAAAACATAAAATAAAAATAGAAATTAATCAAGATAAGGAGAAGAAAGTCACAGATAGACTATGTTTCCAAGAGACACACTGGTAAAGGACTATAATCTAAAACATTCAAAGAATCCCTAAATCACAAGAAGTAAGAAACCAAACATCCCAGTTTTTAAAAGGGCAGAATATTTGAACAGGCACATGTATTCTCTTCCCTTCATGAATTGGAAGGCTCAATTTCAGTCAAGATTTCAGTTCTTTCCACATTGGTTTTGAAATGCAACACCACTCTAAGCAAAAGCCTAGAAAGTTATTTTATGCACATCAAAAATTTATTCGAAAGTTTACATGGGAGAGAGGGAAAGACCTAAAGAGCATAATATTGAAGGAGAATAAAGTTGCAGGAACTTCAAGATTTACTACAAAGTTACAGGGTGGTGTTGGTGAAAGAACAAATACTTCAATGGAACAGAACAGATAATCCAGAAATAGACCCACAGAAGGATTGCCAATTTAGTACAGACAGCTAAATCAGGCAGTCAACAGGGCTGGATCCTCAGGACAGTCAATGTGAAAGGCGAAAACACATTGAAACTGTGACTGATGGCACATCGAAAGCTTAGTCACAATTGCCAGATTTATATACATCCCTAAGGGGTAAACAGAAATTTGAGGTTATTGGTACCATCCTTTTGGGACTTCCCACATAAATAAGCCATTATCTCATCAGGGTTGGGGTGGGCCATTTCCCAACCACTAAGGCTAAAACCAAGACTATGTATTATGGACCAACATTCATGATGTCATCAATATATACTTCTTATATGATCTGTTTTCCCATTGAGTCAATATTATCTAAGTGAATATACTTGCAACCTTATTGGTTGATTATAACTTTGCCACGTATTACTTACCTCCAGATTATGTGCCATAAAACTTCCTTTGAGAAATGGGCTCACTGGCAACCCATTTGGGACCCTTCGTGTTCCTCAGGAGCTATTCCTAGTCCCCATTCTTTTTCCCCAGTAAAATGTCCCACTCTTTTTTTTTTTTTTTTTTTTTTGGGTCTTTTTCGTTTTTATCGGTACCAGGGATTGAACTCACGACTGCCTGCTTGCAAGGCAGGCGCTTATGCCGCTGAGCTAAATCCCCAGTCCCTAAATGTCCCACTCTTAATCTCTGTTGTTCCTTAGAATTCCTTCTTTGACTTCAGGAAGCACAATCTCTGTGTATCAGATATCTAGTAGGTTGGGAGTACATTTATTTCCACTTATCTTTTGGAGGTCCTACATCAAACTAATAATGGCACAAAGGTAATGTCACAGTCAGCTGAGCTACTTATAAATATTATAGGCAGTCAGACAAGGCTAGGCCCTTGAGGAAGCCCTAATAGAGGCCCTAATGTCTTGAGACTGTGAAGGAGACACACTCCTCTGGCTGTGGACCAGATCTCAGGACAGAAGACAAAACAAATGCAAACATACTCCTCTAAGCATGAATGTTAGGGATTAGGTATGCATCACCTTGAGAAGCCAGGAGTCACCATCTCAACCCCCTACAGGAAGCCTCACTGATCCACAGATGCATGAGAATGCTCCCTTGCTACATGACTTGCTACCCATTTGTTTCTGATTTGTCAGTTTTACTGAACAATTAAACTTAAACTTATTGGTTGACCACACTTCTGTCCCACCTCATGCCCATCTGCCTTGTGAGTTCCTATTTTTCCCACCTTACACCTCCCTCTCACCTCATGATTTTGCTCTATAAAAAAAGACAGTGTTTGGCAACCCACTCAGGACTACTTCTGTCTCTCCCTGCCCGACTGAAGATTTCTTTCTCTCAACAAAAATATTCTGCTCTTAAACTTCGCTGTTCCTAAAATTCATTCTTCGATTTTACAGAACACAAACTCATACTGGACATGTAGAAGGTTGGGAGTTTCATTCCCCTATGTCACTGTCACTGTTAATAATTCAAAAGAAAAGAAGGAGGAAGACCACATGTTCTCTAAAATCAGAGGCTTAGTTTGGAAGGCCAGTTGGTATAAAAATAAGGGAAAAAGTGGCAGTGGTTTACCCAATCCCATGTGTAGCTCTGTGGCAAGACAGGAGGGCACCTGGCCACCTCACTAGTTAACGTGGTACCTCAGGACCAAAACAGCAAGCTTAAAAAGAAAATCCATTTATGTACTTGGATAGATGAAGACCAGCTGAATTTCCAAAAACAATAGAAAAATACAGCAAACAAACGTGTGAATAAGACATACCAAACTCTAGGTCATGCATACAAGGGCCCACACAATTCAATAACAAAACCTTTGGCTATTTAACTTGTACCTCTGGAGTGAGTGCAAACAAGAAAGAAAGAAAGAAACTGTATTGCAGCTACAAGAAAATCACAAAGGCAATATAGTTCCTTCCCCTAGCCCACATGGTGGTTTATAGGTAGCTAAGTTAGGTAGAAAAATCATAAGCTATCAGACAGGGCTGGGCCTGCCAGAGGTTAATGCAGAAGAAAACCTTGGCTCAAAGCAACATTCACTGAAGGCCAGGCTTCAAAGAAAAGAAGAAATACTCACTCATGTACTTCCACTGGGGATGAGGAGCAGTGACAGGTACTCTCAGTGGGCATCAATCACCTTGGGATGAGGACCACACCTCCTCATCCCACCCTCCAGGAAACTCCTTCTCAGTCCCATCTGCACTTGCTGCTACATGGCTTATTTCCCCATTTGAACTCCTTTTAATTAATATTACCAAAGTGGGGGACTGGGGATTTAGCTCAGTGGCAAACTGCCTTGCAAGCAGGCAGTTTTGAGTTCAATCCCCAGTACTGATAAAAAAGAAAAAGACAAAAAAAAAAAAAAAAAAAAAAGTATTACCAAAGCAACTATCCTTGTTGTAACCTTATTGTTCACCATAGTCTTGTCCCATTTTAAATCACCTTGTGACTTCCCATGGGATCAATATTACTTAAAGCACTATACTTCTAACACTATTGGTTATAGTACTGTCTCTGCTTTGAAGTAGTCTCATCTGGTGGCTTTGCTCAATAAACATGCTTTTAAAAAGTAGGGTTAGGGCCAGGGATTTAGCTGTTTCATAAGCACCTGCCTTGCAAGCACATGGTCGTGAGTTTGATCCCTGGTACCAAAAAAACAAAACAAAAAAAAATAGGGGCTTGTGGGCCCACCTTTGGGGCCCCTTTCTGTCCCTTTTAGATAGAAGCTTTCTTTCTCTCAATAAATTATTCCTACTCTTAACTCCTGTTCCCAGAATTCATTCCTCGATTTTAGAGAACACAAATTTAGTGTGTTGGACAACTAGAAGGTTGGGGATTATATCTCCCCTATATCAGTGAGACACATGAGGAAGCTCTTCCTGGCACCATGAGAAAAAGCCTCCCAAAATCCCAGCATAGAGAAGAGAGACAGGGAAAGACGAAAAAACAACCTAGCAGACACAGCTGTGACACTTTAGAAAGAAACAAAAACAACGTTCCCAAAAGGCCTTACCTGGTCTCCTGGCTGGTTAAGCCAAATAATGTTACCAGTATCGGAATCTTATGAGTATTTTCCAGGTTCTCTCTCTCAAAGAAAAGAATGAAACAAGCGAAAACCAGTGGCAAATCCAGGGATGTGACTCAGTAGCACAGTGCCTGCCTGCCCACCATGAAGTCCTGAGTTTGATTCCTGGTAGGAAAATTAAAAGTGAATAGTCAAGGAGAAGCTGGCTCTGCAGAGTGAATTTGCATTGAGAAAAAACAAAGGAAAAATAGCAAAGAAAAATAACAGAAGAAAAACAAAGAAAACCTGTAGAGTGGTTGGCTGACAGTGTCAACTTGAGAAGTTTAGAAGCTTCACTAAATCAGCTTAGCAACTCTACACCCTAGAGTGTGAAGACCCACATTAGGGGGGGGGGGCTCATCACCTGCACAGTATAAAAGGGAAGGAGAGAGGACAAATGGGATCCATTCTTCCAAGGAGCTTCAGTCTTTACCTTTGGCTTAGATGTCGGCCCTCTCCTGGCTTCTGTGATAGCTCAGACCCCGGAATAAAATCCAAGGAAGCAAGAAATTAAATTTGGGGAGCAAAGGCTTTATTTCCAGGCCTGGTGGCAGTCTATCCAAGATCGACCCAAAGACCGCATGCCCCAGAAACTGAAGATGGGGTTTTTTAAAAGCTGGAGAAAAAAAGGGGGGAGAAACAAAAGAAACCCGCAAAGCTGTTAAGCTGTTGACCCAAATCTGGAAACTGTAAAGCTGTCCACTTAGTTCTGACTTCGGGAGACTTCGGTGCCTTTCAAGTTACTCCCATCCTGCAGATAAGCATTATATTGGAATAGCACATCTGCAATAACATTTGGAGAAGAAAGTAGAAAGTTAATTATCTCAGGACAGCTCATTAGTGCTACCATGGGAGAGGGGGTCGAACGTTACAAGAAGCTGAAACTTAAGTTTTTACAAGGGTTTGAAACTTAACCGTTTTCTTTTTTTTGGTCTTTTTCTTTTTTATCGGTACCAGGGATTGAACTCACGACTGCCTGCTTGCAAGGCAAGCACTTATGCCACTGAGCTAAATCCCCAGCCCCTTAACCATTTTCATGCATACAGAACAAAAGGAGAGCATTGGTTGGGGTTAATTTCCTGTAATTTCTTTGAAGCTAAGCATTTCTTTTGTTGTTGTTGTTGTTGTTGTTTTCCTTTTTATCAGTACCAGTGCAATTGGCACATTTTGTAACAGGCACATTTTATGACAGACCACCACCGGGTCAAGAAGGGGTCACCAGAAACTGAAACCTAAAGTCTTTAGGGCTTTTCAGGAAACTGAAACTTAACCTAGATAGATAGGTAGGGGGAGGGGGAGGCAGTACAGCACATTACAGAACAGAAATACGGCGAGATTACTTTTTCCTTCTTTTTTTGGGAGGGGGAACAAGGTCAGGTAAGGGTTATACTAACAAGCAAGTCTCCCTGCACACAAGCAAGTTACTTCAAACAACTTTAAATTAGGAAAACATCCTGGTTTCCTCAGCAGAGAATAGAGAAGTCTAACAGTGATTAACAAGCCATTTTAGCTTATTTTACCACGGCATCTGTTATTTGTAGAGGACAACAATGGTTAACATATCAATTAGGTAAGGTTTTGCAATTCTTTACAGAGAAGAGCATTGCTTAACATATCAATTAGGTCACGGGGGGGGGGGGGATATGGCCATGTTATATGATATATGATATGGCCATGTTACAGGTAATTTGCTATAATACAAATATAACAAAGCTATTTTCTTAGAGTACAACAGCTTCCAGCAGAGACTCTTTGGCTTCTCCCTTGGATCTTTCAGCGTTCAATGGTAGACCTTTCAGCCTTCCGTCTCAGACCCACTGGCCTCCTGATACAGGTATACACAGGACACTGTGGCGAGTTCCAGACCTTAGATTGAAACCTTCCATCTCCAGTGTGCAGATACCCTCTGCAGGCTTCCTCATTCAACTCTGGGTAACCACTGAAAGTGAATGTTTTTATACATTCCTATGTCTTGTATTATATTTGTTTCTCTGGTAAAAACCCTGACTAATACACCCTGGATACAGGAAGGGCTATCCTGAAGAGGCCTGATAGCACTTAATGGTGTCTTGCCCTTTTATTCATTCATTTATTTACAAGTGGTGGGTTCCTGCGAGAAGTCCGCATGGGGTTCCTTCTAGTTTCTTGGTGCATGTGTCCTGAGAACTGCTCACACCTTCCTTCCTAATCAGTCTAAGCCACTCCCTGTCCTCCTATCTCATGTGTAGTTAACTTTAATATACATTGTAACACACTTTTTTTTTTAAGGAGCAGTCTCTGAGCCAGGCGGCAAGATGGACTGGGGATTCTTCCATGGAACAAGCCCACAACAGGACGTTTGCTTCAGCAACAAAGAGGAGAAATTACTCAAGCAGCTAAAATGTGCAGAGTGCCTAGAAAAAAAGGTGGACATGAGCAAAGTAAACCTGGACGGTATAAAGCCCTGGAGAACAAAACAAGTAACAGAAATCCTTGGATTTGAAGATGATGCTGTGATTGAGTTTATAGTCAAACAGCTGGAAGTAAAGAATCCAGATTCCAAAATGATGCAAATCAATCTCTCTGGGTTTCTGAATGGGGAAAAATGCTACAGAATTTATGGGAGAATTCTGGTCCCTGCTGTTGTGTGCACAAAAGAACATAACTAGAATCCCTTCTGCTTTCCTAGAGCTAAAGAAGGAAGAAATGAAACAGATTGAGCATCCATGAAAAAGCAAGATGAAAACAAAGACAAGAAGGATAAAGAAGAAAAAGCATGAGAAAAAATAGGGAGAGCTCTCGAAGCCCAAGAAGATGCACATCCACACTTCCTTCCCCTAGAAGACCATCTTCCGGCCAGCAGGGAGAGAAAACACTGTCATTCTCCACCTCCCCATCACACAACCAGGAGCCTGAGTCCTTCCCAGACTCCAGAACCTGAAGAACGTCCTCTGTAAAAGAATTCCAAAACACAAAAAGAAAAGACCCGGCCAAGATCCTGGTCACGTTCCAAATCAAGGTAAAGGACCCGTTTCACTCTCTTCACACTCCACCAAGAAGGCATCACAGGTAAAGATCCAGATCAGGCCCAGCCCAAGGAGGAGACCATCTCCAAGCAGAACCCGCAACAAGTGCCTCCACCACCAAGGCCCAGAAGGAGTCCATCTCCAGGGAGACGCAGAAGGCGCTCATTGGCATCCTTGTTTACCAGTAGGGCACCATCCTCAACGTGCTTCTCTCCGCATTCCCGGTCACCACCAGGAACCTCCCAAGAGGACCTCCAGGCCCCCTCCACATACTCATCAGTGATTGGAGGGTTCTTGCTCTAGAATAAATTACTGTATGGTTATGGCAGTGGTCTAACGTGCCAAAGGACAATGTGGGAATGCCCACCACTTCCTCCTTCTTCCTCAGCCTTAATTGCAACTCCCCTTCCTGTTTGTGCAGGGGGGGGGGTCCAATCAGCTCCTTTCCTGTCATCAATGCTTGCCCTAAGTGCCACTCTGGGTCAGAGATTATGCGTAGATCCCATACCCCACGTTCTGGTATAGGTGACTAGACCCTCTGTGGTCACAGACTCCAATCCACGTCCTTGGAATAAATGTTATCTTTTACTTTATATTCGCTTTTATCATGCCAAAGACTCCTTCAGTTATCTCCTTCAGCGAGTCCCCTCCAGCCCCTTCACCACCAAAACCTCTTCCGACAGCCCAGCCTGCAGACCCCTCCCTGCTCCCTCAGCGAGAGGCTGCGCTTCTGTGTCTCCGGGGAGCACTTCCATAACTAAACACAAAGCTGCCGAGAAAGAGGTCACCAGGCCCGCACCAAGGCCTGCAAAAGTAGGGTCACCTGATTCCGAAAAACAGAACAGCAGCCACATGGCCGCAGTCGGCTGTGGCCAGTGGAGGAATCAAAACACACGAGGACACCTGACGTCCGCTGCCTCCTCTGAGGACCCCCGGCCCCGCCAGCCCAGGGGACGCGCGGCAAGGCGCGGAGGGGAGAACTCTCCTCCGGGCGGTCCCCCCTCCACCCAGGCGCCCCACCTAGGCCTCCCCGGGCGGAGGAGCAGGCAGCGCCGCCCCGCGCCCACCACCAGGCGCCGCTGTCCTCCCCGCGCCGCCTCCGCCTGCTCCGCTGAGCCCGCCCCGCCCCAGGACTGAGCCGCCCTCGCCTGGCCCGGCGGCGCCCGCCTTCCCCCGAGGTGCTCTCCTCCCGCTCGGGCAGGCGCTCTCCGCCCCACCCGCGAAGCCGACCACCGGGTCCCTGCTGGGAGAAGGGCGGCGCCGTCCCCACCTCCCCAGCCGCGGCCCGCCCTCTCGGTCTCCCAGACAAAGCGGCGCCCCAGCGCCCGGACCGCGCCTGCGCCCTCCCCGCCGCGCCGTACGCAGGCCCCGCCCCGAGCCGCGCTCGCCCGGCTCCGGACAGCCGGCTTTCTGCCGGCACCTCCAGCTTCCACCTGTTTGCAGAGGGGGGAACGGGCGACGTCACCCCAAAGGAGGCAGGTCCCTTAGAAGAGCCTCCAGAACTCCGGAGCTTAAAGAGACAAAAAAGGCTACCTCGCCGAGTCCTCGGTGTGTGACGAGGGCCTCCCCAGCCTGCAGCTAAAAGGCCCCCAGCACCTCCATCCTCTGTCCAGGCGCAGGGGCCCTCTACAAACTGGCCACCGGTGGCGCCCGTCAGAGAGGGTAGGAGCCCGACGCCAAGCCCACCACCAGCCTGGAATTCTGATGAACAAGGAGGTAGGAAGAAGAAGAAGAAAAAGGACGACAAACACAAGCATAAGAAACACAAGAAGCACAAAAAACACAAGAAGGAAAAAGTTGGGCCTCCTGGAATCCTCGCGGCTGTTGCTGCTGCCTCCACCGGACCAGCACGGGAAGAACCCCAGGAGGCCCAAGAACGAGATTGAAAACCAGGCTGAGGATGACCCTGACGACTTTGAGAACTTGCAGGAAAAGGCT